ACACACACACACACACACACACACACACACACTTCTAAACACATTCACACACTTTCATCAATCACCAGTTTCCCATGCGTCCGTGAGCTCAAAGCAGCACATAACAAATGCAAAGTGCAAAGATTATCCCTCTGTTAATCTCGTGTTGATCATACACGGTGGCTGCAGCTTCCTGTCCACGCTGTTTATCAGTTAGTGGGCGAAAAGTGTTAATCAGCCACTATAGCTAAAGTGCAGTGTGTGTGTGTGTGTGTGTGTGTGTGTGTGTGTGTGTGTGTGTGTGTGTGTGTGTGTGAGTGTGNGGAGCCGCGTTCTGGTGCTCTCCGTTAGAACTACACTCCAGTCAGACGAGACATATACCACGTGATGACACGTTAGGCTCGTGTTGTGTTCAAGGACCCTGACCTTGGCCAGGAAAAACAAGCTTGTTTAATTATTTTGCGGTCTAGATTTCTTGAATTTTTTTTTGCGTGTGTTTATAAATTACCCCGAGGGCCGTACCAAATGGTCTCGCAGGCCGTATACGGCCCGGAGGCCGGAGGTTCCCCACCCCTGCTCTAGGGGGTTCGGGGGGCATGCTCCCCCGGGAAGATTGTTTTTTAAATGTTGAAGTTAAAAGCATCAATCTGGTGCACTTTGAGCACAAAATGAATTTATGGATACATCGCTCAACACTCAGATGAAAGGGACCTGTATACTTTTCAATAATCCAAACATCTTTAGAATATGATCACAACCAATAACAAATCATTTCAACTTGTTTATTCTTATCTTACCTAGTTGGTATTCTTTCTTTTTCTTTATGCATATTTTACTAATCACTCTCCTTTTAAACTGTTTTTGCTCACAGAGGCTGTGCGGATAATTATTTTAATGTATACAAAAAAAAAAGAATCATTAAATAATTGTTTTGTATTGGTACCTGGCTTGCGCCCCGTAGCAGTGGCGCGCATACATTCAGCAGTGGTGCAGCGCCGCTGCTGAATGTATATAGGGGAAACACTGGGGTGGTACCCTAATCTCTTGACTCAGCCGTCATCATGGCTCATTTCTAGTTGTTTCCTATGAGAACATTTTCCCTTTTTTAGGACACTGATTTGCAAACAATTTTCTAACATAAAAACTTACTGAAGATTTCAGACAAATCCTGCACTTGCTTAGTAGAACCCAGAATCAAGTAACATAAACATACATAGTTGGATAATCTTTTACATATTAGATTGGAAGCCTGTTTTTATCAGCTGTGTAAACAGTTGTTCTTTTCACTAACGGTTAAGTTTCAGTGTTGACTGTAACTTTTTCTTTCCTCCCTCGCCCATGTTTCTTTTCCAGCTGATGACTGCCAGCAGATGTTCCTGCATCCTGTGAATGTACGCTGTCTGTTGCGTGAATACGGCAGCTTGGAGGCCAGTCCGGACTCCATCACTGCCACAGTGGTGGAGATAGTGGGACACCAAGTCACTGAGGTCAGCCACACAGAGACACACAAAACCTAATATTCAGATCAGTTTGGTTAGCTGTTTCCGCAGAGACATTTTCTGCAAAAAATCTACTGTGCCCAGTATTCTGTTATTTGCTTATGTCGTAACTTTAACTGTTGCAGGATATCCGCCGTCGGCATCGCTACCTGGCACATCTGCCGCTCACGTGCGAGTTCAGTATCTGTGAGTTAGCCCTGGAGCCGCCAACTGTGTCCAAAGAGACTCTAGATACATTTGCAGGTGAGAATACATTTTATGTCTATGGAATTGTTAATTACAGGAAGAAGGTGACATAGATTGAAAGTGTTGATTTTACACATTTTCCTCCCAAACCACTAGATGACTTGGAGAAGAGAAAGCGCCTGAGGCAGAAGAAAGTGAGGGATGAGAAGCGCAGAGAGAAGCGAATTGAAATCGAGGAAAACAAGAAGCAGGGTAAATGTAAGTACAGATGTGCAGGTCACAACTGGAGTCATACCTCCTGAAATATATATGAATAAATTGGAGCGTTCTCTGGACCGGAGGCTGTAACTGTGTTTGCTCTGTATGTTAAACAGATCCTGAGGTGCATATCGGATTGGAGAACCTTCAACATTTCCCAGCATTCGGGTCTCCTCCTCACAACAGCAGCTTCCTAATGCAGTCTGACTTCTCATTTGCCCCCCCGTCACCCCTCAGCACCAGTCCTTCCTCTGGTAAGAGCGTCTCCTTCCTCTGCAGTGTATTGTTCAGGGGCCGTATTCACAAAGCATTTTATCTTACCGCTAGGAGTGCTCCTAACTCGCGCTAAAACATTTTACGTAGGAGTTTTTTCTTAAAAGTTATTCACAAAGCCGCTGAGACCTACTCATACTAAGGATAAATCACTAAGAGTGAACTAAGAGTGACGCGCCGTTGCTATGGATTAAGTCGATTCTCGTGCATGAGTTTAGAAGCGGTCAGTACGGTGATTGGTTGTTCAGAGTAGGCGGTCTCGGTGAAACTCATCCGCAACATCCCACAAACGAGCCCACTAAAACAAGGAAATAGCCTAGGCTAGAAATGTATTCCTATCAAATAGTTATGGACAGTGCAGTTAGCAGAATACACGCATGATGACAAGTTTGTGCAGACCACGATAATGACGTTGTATATGCACGTTAAAGAGAGAGAGCAAACAATAAAAATACGTAAATTACATTACCGTAATTTCCGGACTATAAGGCGCACCTGAATATAAGCCGCAGCAGCTAAATTGAATGATGTGTACATATATA